ATTTTCGCAAACAGCATATATGCAACAAACAGTCAACTACTTCTCAGAGCCGGGGACCTGACTCTAGTTCGAATTCAAAAAGAAGACAAAAGTTTTCTTATGCATTTCGTGCTGTCAACAATGTACGTGGAACCTAATGCTGTATTTCCTCACTTTGAGCCAGCTATAGTTCCTGTAAAAAGCAACGAAACTTGTCTTCGAATTAAACTTCCTAAACGGATCTACCTTAAAGCTGATCAGTTTTACTCCGCGGAACAGTCAGAGTGTGAAACTCGACCATCAGGACTGCTGGTCTGTCTCGATAACTTCGAAAAAGACAAAGACGCACCTGAGATTGCTTGTCTAAACAAAGCTTCTCAATGCGATACGGAAGAAGTGCACTGTAAACCTTATGTTGCACAAGTTTCAGCAGGAGCCCTGACGTTCCGAGACGGAAATCCAGTTTACGGGATTAACATAGGAAGCTCCCAAAAGATCAATAGGATAGACACTCCCGAAACTGAAACAAAACTTTACTCATGGAAAGAATATTCTCAAGTACAATTAAAGAGTAGAGTTTTGTACTCTATCCGACCAGAAGACATAACCAACACAGTTCATTGGAAGCCTTCTCTAGACGTTAACAAATGGGTTCAAGAACTCGCGACAAGTGCAAGAAAACATCAGAAGTCAAACTTCACACGGATTCATCAGCTTATCGAAAAACAGGACGAAACAATTCGATTATTGAAGTACAAACCGAGCAAACTGTTAACAGATTCTGCCTATAGCATCATTATACAGATCGCTTCATTCCTGTCTATTGCATTGTGGTGTTTCACAATAATTGCATTATGCGTGTTAAACTCAAAGAAAAGACATACCAAACATGGAAAGACGTTAATGCAACTAAAAAAGGAAATCCTAAAGCTTAGACGTGCTGACAAATCTACACCAGAGACAGATGAGATGTCATATCGTCACCTTGAGCAACAAGACGAACTACCATTACATTCGACTACTAGAGGTTCTGGAATACGACACAGAGGAACAAGTCGACCTGCTCCACCTCCACGACAAAATATTGTCGAAAAAAGTGACGAGGAACCAGAAGAGACATCAATCATCGTTCATCAAAACACCCCCGCAAATTCAGCATCAACATCATTCCATCCAAGCACTTCATCAACACCAAAACGTTCAACAAGATCGGTTAAGGCTCAAGCAAATATTGGATAAATCATTCACACAAACACATCAAAACATGAGCATGATATTGGCAGTATAAATTGGCAGCTGGCAAAATGACTTTAATGTCGACGTTTCACAACGTCCCCCTAATGACTTTAATGTCGACGTTTCACAACGTCCCCCTAATGACTTTAATGTCGACGTCTCACAACGTCCCCTAAATGACTTCAATGTCGACGTTTTTAACGTCCCCATAATGGCTAAATGCCCACCAGAGACTCAAAAAATGGACTCCTTTCTCAATTGGACATCGAATCACAAGAAATGCTTGATCCTAATCTACCTGACTGTTCAAGACCTGATACCTAAAAGAGACGCTCTCAACTTCATCTTCATGCAACATATATCAAACAGGGTACACGCTGTGCTACGAGTTTTAAAAAACAATACTGACTATGTTAAATTATCTGAAGCATTACATAGCTCAGAATCTAAAATATCAAGAAACTGTGGATATTATTTCAGTTCTTCCAAAAACAGATACCGAACTCTGGTACCTTTAGAAACGGTACCGCTACTTTTGCAATTTTTGAATGATGCGCTGTGTGTTAAAATATTTATTAAAATTACGGAAACTGTCAAATGCCAAATTTTAAATTATTCATCAAAATCAAGAAGAAACCGATTTTTAAATAAGCAAAGGCACCAATTTCAAAGAGCTCTTAAAAAGTACCCAGTGTCCGAGCCTCTCGATATCATACTTGGAGCTGCATCAACTAAGTATTTCAAAACCGTGAAATTCCGAATTTTGAACGACACCATTACAAAAAACAAATTGAATTCTTTGGTTGACATCAACAAAAACAAGATACGCCCATATCTGTTTTGTTGAGCCTTGTAACAAATCAGTTGTGCTATATTACAATTTCGTACCTAACTTCAGCATAAAAACAGCTAGCTAATTACCTCATTTTATCCTAGCAGGAAACATCTCTGACGCTGGCTCATCATATAATGATTTATGGCGTTCCTGCCTTGCCACATAGGGACTGAAAATTGGATATTGCACATAACCATAACAATAGTAAAACATGACCTTCACCAAAGAAAAATTCATCTATCAAACTGTAACACACATAAAGATCTAACCTCGAACGTGTATCCTGAGTATACAATAATGGCACAAGGGTAGCCGCTGACTACGCTCGACGAGATGGAATTTTGATTTATGCTTGCAATTCAAGCATAACTGGGAAGCTGGCCCGGGAAATAACCAGTCGCCCAGTTCGGCGAACTTCTGTTTGCCGAAATCAATAATTGCCCTACTGACGTGTAGCCATTGGTTTCCCCGGCAAAGCGCAATCTGCCGTATGATTGCCCCATACAACCGCTGTGCATGGAACATATGACCGGTTCCCGTTATAGCCGGCCTTAAACATTGCTGGAAATGAATTCGACCAGCTATACCAGCCACGGCGTCTTGAGCTTTGCACACCGTCACCCTAAAGCCGTCGCGACCACGTTCGAAGCCCTGAAATAAAGACTATTAAAAAAACTGCTCAATCCACGTCATTAACATCCTAAATGATCCAAAAACGAAATCACGACCAGCAAATAATAACAAAACCAACATACCCTGCTCTCGTGTCCTTTAAATCTGCTGTACTGGCGTACTGCACTCATGTAATGGTCCATGCAGTACGCCAGACCCCCATCTCTACTCCCGTGCACCAGCCTCATAGGGATCCATATATCCATCGAGGGCAGTTCTTCCACAATGGGAGTATCACAATCTCTAAAACAACACGGCATCACGACAGATTTTAAAACTTTTGAACTATGAAGCTTCTTTACACACAGTACCAGCATCCAAATTAACTCACTACAATAGAACAATGCCATCAACTCCGGGCACAAGAATCAGTTTTCCTGGAGGCCGGCCTGCTCTAACATCACTTATTGCATTGGTTCCTTCATTTCGCCATGTTTTCTTTGCTCCCCCAGGAAATCATACTCAATATAGCGCTATTGTTACACTTTGACGACCTCCTCCAATTAAGAGCTGTGAGCCGTACATTGCGACATCTGCTGGACCCGTATTTCCTCAACAAATGGGTGCAAATAAGCGAATCTAGCATCGCAACTCACTACTCACAATTCGATGTTACCCGAAAATCGTACAGTGCCCCATCCCTTCCTCGCCTCATAAAACTCAAAAATGAACTGACCCTTGCAGCCAAAACAAAATCTCCACAAAGTATCATCCAAACATCAAAGTTCATTTTCCAGCAGTTATATCAGAAATACCTTGTCAAAAAACCATTAATGTGTGTAATATCAGCTTACCTAGAACAACATAATAAAAGATTCTTCAAACGACTTTTACAAAACAGTGTAATATGCAAAAAGGCTCCTAAAAGGAAAAAATTTCATTTGCTAAAAGAACTAACAATAATCCTGGAAATTTATATTGAACTATCGTGCCTTTATAATACTAATAGTTACAATCATTTGCCAAGTGAACTTATGACTCACATTGATTACAAATTTATCTTCAATAGGAACAAAGCACTAAAATGGTTTAACCAAGATTAACCACAAATTTGAATCACCAACCAACGCTCTATTTTAAACCTTCAAGGTGTCGTTCAAAATTGAAAAACGTATGTAAAATATTGGAATTATATTAAATTGATTTATGTGTGAATTTATAAGTGGTCACAGACAATTTTAACGAGAAACGAATTTTGTTAAAACCAATTAAAAATACAATGCGGAAAGAAGTTTCAATTACCGATGTTTCTAGTTATTATTGATTGTGACAAACTATATAAAAATATTTATTCTTGTGTTTTAAGAGAAAAAGATAGAAATCCAAAAATAAATTATTATTTTCAAAATTAATTTTTCGTGTGATTTAAGTATTCGTGTATTTTATAGACAAATAAAAAGGGTAAAAGACTTCATTCAAGATATCTACTCATTACATTAAACTATTTCTTTTAAAAGATGGTAAATTGATTTATTACGATATTTATTTTTAAAACGATGGTAGGTTCCTAACAACATTTTGAAAAATTTTTTTTCTTCTTAAGGGGGGAAGGTTGTGGGATCACCCTTTGCACACTCTAAGCCATATAACTTTGCTATCCCCTGTTGGCAGGTTGCCAGCTATCTGCTTGTGCTTGGCACATCTCCAAATGAGGTAACTTATAGTTAATAGGTCACAGACAGGGCCTGTGACTGCAAACCGGAACTGATTGTGACGCCAGAGGTTAACAAACAATTGGCTTCACAACGTAAAGGTGAATCATCTATAGGTGAATCATCTTATAGGGAAAAGTAATTAATGGAGTAATAGATGAGCGAGGGTTCTCATTGTTCTGTCCCGTTTGTCCAGTGCACGCTCATTGTTCATGATTTCAAGTAGCGGAAACGATGACTAAGATAATCGTTTCCGTGATTGTAAACCCTACGTCAATGATACAACCTATAAAAACCCTAGACACACCCATAATTCCCCACTTCTTGAACGCCCACTCAACTTTAACAAAGACTTAAACGTAATCTACCATCGTCCTTTGGTTGCTTGTTAATTTGTTTATTACCCACATCCATTGTATTTTATTGTCTACACTACAAATACAAAGCCTAACTAAAACACAACGCAAACTTCCATCGTGGGAACAGACAGATAATCTGTTGGAACAAAGTCCTACATCTACTCAACATATCTCAAACCTAGACGATCTACCCCCTTTCTTTCTAACCCACAACAATACTGTTGATATTTTTATTGCGGGCTTACTTTAAATGACTGATTGTTTCAGATGTAAAAGCTAAGGGTAGCGAAGTGCTGAAAAACACAGAAGCTACAATATCTTGTGTAGTAAGTGGTTTGAGTAAGCAGCTGGAGGCGGTAACATGGAAGAAACCTTCGGGTGATGCTATAACTGACGGTACTGACAGCTATGCTATTGAGGTTGGAACTTACGTTTCTGGCACCAACATTCAAACTACAATTTTGACCGTACCTGCTGGTGAAAACACTGCTGATGCTCTTTTCACCTGTGTCATTCAATCTGACGAGCATGCAAAAACATCAGCGTCTCCAGAAGAGACTGATGTCAACTCGAACGTTTTCAGTGAGTAATCTTGATACATTTTGAGAACCACAATGTGTATAACGAGGTCTTATTCAAATTTTGCAGCAGTAATCTTTCTTAATTTAGGCTATTTTAGTTACAACTACATGTAATGATACTTTAACATATCAAATGTTTTGTGAGTTTGAAAGAATCAAATTATTTTAGCCGTCGTTCCGGAGACTCCTAAAAAAGCCACCACCGCTGTGGCTCAGACATTGACTTGTGATATCGGAGATGTGGTTACAGATGTCATTGTGTCGTGGAAGGATAATGCTGGGGCTGATATAACAAGTGATAGTGCAGGGTACACCATCGCACAGGGATCAGCTGACTCTGGTACCAAAATTCAGACATCAACTCTGACCATCGATGTTGCCACTCTTACAAGTGTAGCTGTCGCTGCAAATCCCGCGACATACAAATGTGCTGCGCAGTCTGTAGAATATTCGGATTCAGCAACATCTACTTTCAAAGAGATTGTTGTCAACTTCCTTACTTTCGGTAAGTTTCTTAGGACTTGGTGGTATTTATAACTGCCCATAAATGATGCTCTGCTGTTTTAATTTTATATCTAAGATATAACTTGTTACATCCTACTGTAAAAACAAAATTAAACTCATCATAGGATCCAGTGAATTTAGTTTAGAAAGTTCAATGATTCAGTTCCTGTACAATACTGTTGATATTTTTTATTGCGGGCTTACTTTAAATGACTGATTGTTTCAGATGTAAAAGCTAAGGGTAGCGAAGTGCTGAAAAACACAGAAGCTACGATATCTTGTGTAGTAAGTGGTTTGAGTAAGCAGCTGGAGGCGGTAACATGGAAGAAACCTTCGGGTGATGCTATAACTGACGGTACTGACAGCTATGCTATTGAAGTTGGAACTTACGTTTCTGGCACCAACAGTCAAACTACAATTCTGACCATACCTGCTGGTGAAAACACGGCTGATGCTCTTTTCACCTGTGTCATTCAATCTGACGAGCATGCAAAAACATCAGCGTCTCCAGAAGAGACTGATGTCAATTCTAACGTTTTCAGTGAGTAATCTTGATACATTTTGAAAACCACAATGTGTATAACGAGGTCTTATTCGAATTTTTCAGCAGTAATCTTTCTTAATTTAGGCTTTTTTTTTCCTTTTTTTAAGAGAGGTTGGGCCAAGATAGCCCACGAGAGGATAGCATTGAGATGCTCTGCCTACCTCTGAGGTGGGCAAAAAACACTTGTTTTTGCCCACGTTAACTTTTCTTCCTGGTCAGTAGACCAGGGTGAAAAAATTATAGCCATCTTCAAAAGTTTAAAAAGACTGAATGATTTATTTACATATAAGCATATACATCTTTCAGCTGTAGCGTCAGTGACTTATTCAGTCATTACTAGTGAGGATCAGACGTTGACCTGTGCAGTAGGAGAACTAGACGTAGGTGGAACCCCTGTTAATGTAGTCTGGAAGGCTCCTGATGGTACGACTGTATCTGTATCGGATATTACGAACTATGATGTCAGCAACGGTACAGTCAATGTAACCGGCATACAGGTGGCAGAACTCACCATCAAGGCTACCAAGCTTGCTGATTTTGCTAACCAGTCAACATTCACTTACAAATGCTCGGTAACATCAACACAGTACCCAAACTCACCTGTATCTACCCACGGAGTTGTGGTCAACGTTCTAGGTGATTTAATTAAGAATAATGTTCTACAAAAGTTTAAGGACGATTATTTGTGTATGATCTTGTTTCCATAATATTTTGATTCCCTTTTAGCTAATAGTCTTCTTATACGTTGCAGTAAACATACAACTGCAATAGTTTGATTCGCCCTTGAAGATGTTAGAGCTCACATAAAATAACTTTGACGGTCTCTCGTAATAAAACATAAAACTTTCTTTGTCCTCAAAATGTGGATTGTAAAATTAGAATTTATTTTTGAATCATGAGTAAGTCGCTACAAAGTGTATATATCTAAAATACTTTGAACTGTGGAAGCATTTTTTACCCTTAATCAGATTTTCCCTTTCAGCACCTTGTAGCATGCCCGTTATCGAACAAGGCATCATATCTCCATATTCGACGATTGATTCAGGCTCAACATACGAAATAAGGTGCGACAGCGGATTTGTCATAACTGGACCGTCGTCAATGGTGTGCACTGACGGTACCCTATCTGAATCCCCATCTTGTCCACCAGGTTAATCTACTAAATATGATTTGGAGACATTATGGTTTCCAAATGAAATTATCATTGATAAGGAATAAATTTCAATCGGGTTATCCTCAGTACTTGTTAATATTATTACACTTTCATATTTTGTATAGATCAATGTTCATTGAGAAATATTTTCCAAATTTCTGACTGCATATTTACCAACAGGGATTGGAAATTAATTTCTTTCTTCTGTCTGTGATAATTTATATTTTGTTGTCTTCAGTGGCTACTGTCACTTGTGATGGATACGGAATAAAGTTGTTCATTACCGAGAAAATTAGTTTTGATACAATATTGCTCAACGACAAAGGTATTTTATTTGATAATTTTTAGAGTTTGTTTGCATCTATTTTTGAATATCTGATAGAATTTTTATACCGTAAATCACGTTGTCAATACTTCATTACAGAGTGTGAGTTTAAGGGAGACTCTCAAGAAATCAGAACAGATTTAGACAAATGCGGTACGACGGTATTTTATAATAACAGTCATGTCATTTACAAAAACCAAGTAAGATGCTCTTCATTTACCGTTATATTTGTTAGTTATTAGCAGATTTTTGTCGTTTAATTTCGATTGAGCTGAAGAGACGGGTGGTAGAATAAATAAATTATAACTTAAAAAAAGATTATAAATCAAGTCTTGAAAATTACGTTTTTTTCCTTGTAAATTTTCCTATAAATTAATTTTTCAGATGATAGGAATTTCCAGTAAAATTGATTACAGTAACGGTATAACCAGAGGAGGAGAACTTAAGATATCATTTGAGTGCTCATTCAATAGAACAGGTGAAATATCATGGAAATTATTGAAATTAATCTAATTGAAAATGAAATGAAATGAAATGAAATAAAGCATTTTTATCCCGCTTATATCAACAATCCAAATAAAAATAAAGATTGCCGATGTCAAAGCGGCTGGCCTATGAATATACCCCAAACTAAGATATTCAGTGAATGAGTATGATATAAAAAATCCAAAACCAAATTACTTATTGACATTAAAAGTTAGTATAGCAACGGTTAAAAAAAACAACTCATGGATGTATATCATTAAACATTATTATAAATCGTTCACTCCACTACCTTGTCCTTACAACAAATTTTATCACTTCTGATATAATAATGTTTATCTGTGTCTTCTTTGGCAATCTGTTTCATCTTTAAGACCAACTGTTGATGGATAGTTCGTTCCTCAGGTGATCGGTCCGGAGAAATAAAAACAGTTTTATGACGTGGAATCAGTCTCAGTTCTTTGGCTTTCACTAATATCTGATGGACTGTACTTGAATTTTCAAAAGAAACTTTAACTGGTCTAATCTTTTCAGCTGACTTCTTCCCAACCCGGATAGCTTCGAAGTGTGGCTTTTCATCAATCTGCTGAAACATCTCGCTAACTTCATGACTCAGATTCTCTTCACTAGTCTCCTCGAAACCAAATATTAACACATTCTTAGTTCGATCCTCTTCTGATATAACATTCTGTACAACCTTTTTCAAGCTCTCTTCTGTGAGTACAGGTGCGGCTTTTAAAACAGCTTGACTGTATGTGATTATCCCAGCTTGAACAGTGTCCCGAACGCTGGTCTTGACGGTGGAGTGCACGGATTCCAACTGCTTCGATTTGCTTTCCAGAAGTTCAGCCTGCAGCTTGATAACAGTACTTTGCGATCGGATAAGATCGCTCTTCAACTCCTCCATATCTTTCTTGATATCCAAAACCATATTTACATGATTACTGGTAGTCCGATACGCAGAATACAAATGTTTGACTAAAACTGCCTTCACTGGCTTTTTGAACGTTTCAACTGAAAACTCTGATTCATACTCATTCATTGTCACAGTTCATCTAGCTCCCGCGAGTTCAGTGACCCAAGCGTTATAGACCTGATGGTGTAATGTAGGAAGAGTAATTTGACAATCTTTGAAGAGTATCCATTTCATCATCATCCATCGTGTACTTGTACTTGTATAAAGTAAAAACACAGTACCCGCACAATGGCAGTTATAATGTAGCGATAAAATAGAGATAAGAGAGCTAGATTATCAACAGTTAACAAAAACTGCACATTCACAAGTTTTTATTGTCTATGAACTATAATTATTATACTTTTTAAACACAATTCAAATTGCAATTTACGTTTTAAACGATAAAAGATAGTTTGACGGAGCAGTTTTGTCGGATCGAAAGTTGCTAGATTTATATAGAAAAAAAGCTAAAAGTTAAAAAATAAAAACTTGATAAATCTTAAATGTAACCACAATCATGATTGACACTTATTTAATTTCCCAGGTGCCACCAAGTATGCATCTTGGGAGGTAAAGGGTGCAGCCATTGTGGAAAAGGTGACGGGTGAAGGTTCGCTACGTTTCCTTCTAGATATCTACGAGGACGCAACATATGCCAACAAAGTGGTCAACTTTCCCTTTCAGCTAACACTTAACGCTAATATCAACATGCAGGTCTTGTGTGAAATTTGTAATCCACTGATTTGTAGTACTCATCGCCAACTTCATTTTGCAACTATACCATGGAATATAAAGACCTTGGATCAATATAAAGACCATGTATCATCTGAAATTTAAAGTCTTTAAACCAATTTAGGAGTTGATTGGGATGTGTTAATTAGGATGGAATAGAATTTCGATTCTTTACCACTTTATAGCAACTTATGATATTCCCAACGGTTGTATAATAATCACTTAAGCACTGAGAAGAATAGCTTTGATAAACTAAAACACATAACCAGGTCACACTGGATTCATTAGATCCAGACCAGTCTCTGGGTGTGGTCAGAATACAAGCAAAGGACAGTGAAACTGAGGAGGATGGAAACTTGTCCTACGACTTGGTGAAGGAAGGGTCAGTTCTTTAATTGGGAGGTGGAAGTCCAGTGGCCATACGACTGCCCCCGCTACCCCCGCATAGGGGGAGGTGAAACATGTTTTCACCTCCCCCTATGCGGGGGGGGGGGGGGGGTGAAAACATTTTGATTGGTCAACGCTGGAAGCTGATTGGATTATTGCTGTCTCAACGTGCCTTAAATAGTATTCATATTTCATATCACACAGTAGTGAGTGTGACTGAGTTAACCCATTAGGGACGATAGGGTCGTTTACGACCCACCTTTTCTAGAGGCTATAGAGGACAAACCATAATACTAAACGCAACGAATCTTTCGCACATATGCTCAAAATTTATTGGGCTACATTATTGACTTTCCAGTCGAGACCCAATTAATTACTAACAACTAAATAATTAGGCTAATTAGTCGTCATAATTGGAAAATATTTCACTTTACTTCTTGCCTTGATTGGGACATTAAAACTTTATGTAGGCTTATTTTGTTGAGGACAAAATAGTTGCGGGCAACGATTTCCTTGAGACATATGAAAAGCCCGTGATAATCAGATGTTCACAAACAGAGCTAGACGCTGTTTACTAACTGCGGTCGCATACGACCCACTCGTCCGGGTCGCAAACGACCCATCACGGTTTTTCGGCTTTAACTTCTGAAACAAAGACGTTAGGATAAAATAAAAACTGTAGCATAAGTTAAAAACATATGGTCAATACTGTGTAACTCTAACTTTTAAAAAATAAAGAATTTGGGTCATTAACGACCCACTCGGCTCACTTGCTTATTACTACATATGTCCATGTAACTTCTTGAATTCAGCCTAAAGCATGACATCATAAGTTCAAAATCGCCTCTCAGCAAGTGATAATCATCATAAACTGCGAAAAATCGGTTAAATGGGTCATTAGCGACCCACTAGGACCACAAAATTGATTAATTAAATATAATGTTGTCAAACTTTTACAAATATTAGTATAAAAACATGTTATATCTTGGTCATTACTCCTGTACTTTGATTTAACTTTTAAAATCGATCAACTGGGTCAATAACGACCCACTCGGAAGTTGAACCACCTCATTAATTATTATCAGTATCATGCTGTTCCACCATCAACAAAGACACTCGTAGGTCTTAATTCCACGCAAACCACGGGTGGCTGACTACTAGCCCTTCTGAGATCCAGGGCCAACTGAAGGGCCGTCATCACTCATCAAAGAGCTGCGAGAATAACACTACTGCATATGCCTGGAGTTGCGTCCTGACTAATACTATGGTGCGTGGAAATCTGTACCGAAAGGACCGTGGCCGTGCCGCAAAAGAAAAGGAATCGGCCCTCGTTCCTAACTTGCTAGGTATAGCCATGCTGTTGTTGTTGCTTATTAGATTCTGTTACCTTTTTCGTCAATTTCGAATCTTGGTAAACGACCTGCTACAACCCACTGCTTGAGACCCAGGGTCCCACGGTGATCAGATCATGTCACTCAAGAAAAATCCCCTGAACGAAGTATACGAGATATCATGTAACCTTGGGTAAATACTGAAAGACGAGTGGTCAAATTGCATATTCTAATCCAACATGCCAATCTGTTTTTTTTTCATTCCTAGAAAGTACGAGAATAACTAAACAACTGCTGCATTCAGATGGCTACATCTACAGCTCTGTGAAGAAGTACAAGGAAAAAGCCCCCCCCCCCCCCCCCCCCCCATTTGGCTGGCGGTGCTGCAACCTGCAATCTCTCAGACAACTACCTCGTTGTGGGTAACAAACCCCGCAACAACGAGGCAGCTTTCAAAACGAAAACAAGTATTACGTAATCGGCCGAGAGGGAGGGGAGTTTCCAAATGATTACGCTTGTGTAATTTTGACATAATAGCTATGCGGTGGGGGGGGGGGGGGCGTAAAAATTGTCCAATAAGTGATTACGTAATATATGAACGGCCCCTAAGAAGTAAAGAAAGGGAGCTGCGAAGAGAGTAGATGCAGCCATCTGAAATCTGAATCCAGCAGTTGTATAGTTCTTCTTGGACGTTATAGGAATCGGGAAAAGATAGGCATGTTGTTTGCTGTCTCACGGCATTACGGTCGTGTACTAACAGCTGATAAACTCACCTACCTATCAATCCAATTCTGCCCATTATTCGTCAGTCATCGGGTGACGTGATCTGCAGATTACCGTGAGACTCCAGATCTCAGAAGGGCTAGTAGTCAGCCACCCGTGGTTTGCGTGGAATTAAGACCTACGAGTGTCTTTCTTGATGGTAGAACAACATGATACTGATAATTAATGTCGTGGTTCAACTTCCGAGTGGGTCGTTATTGACCCAGTTGATCGATTTTAAAATTTAAATCAACGTACAGGAGTAATGACCAAGATATAACATGTATTTATACTAATATTTGTAAAAGTTTGACAACATTATATTTAATTAATCAATTTTGTGGTCCTAGTGGGTCGCTAATGACCCATTTAACCGATTTTTCGCAGTTTATGATGATTATCACTTGCTGAGAGGCGATTTTGAACTTATGATGTCATGCTTTAGGCTGAATTCAAGAAGTTACATGGACATATGTAGTAATAAGCAAGTGAGCCGAGTGGGTCGTTAATGACCCAAATTCTTTATTTTTAAAAAGTTAGAGTTACACAGTATTGACCATATGTTTTTAACTTATGCTACAGTTTTTATTTTATCCTAACGTCTTTGTTTCAGAAGTTAAAGCCGAAAAACCGTGATGGGTCGTTTGCGACCCGGACGAGTGGGTCGTATGCGACCATAGCTGTATCTTTTAAAGTAAACGAGATACAGATTAGCTTTTTTGGATATCTCATTTTTGCTGTAAAGTGACCTAGTGTGTTAAACGGTATCAAAATCGGCAAACTTTAAAACTCGTCGTCCCTAATGGGTTAAAATAGTGATAACGATGCTGTTTTCTTTTTAGAAAGCACGAAACTATTGCTTATAGTTATATCCATAATTTCAAAGCTTTTTTTTAAAGTGAAATATTAACGAAGGGAATTTAATTTCCATATAGCTAGATAAATATGTTTTTTTTTTATTGAAATCTTTCAAATCAGTCAATTACATACAAGTTTACACAATGAATTAGTTAAATATAATATTGTCCTCTAAGCATGGATTGTCAAAGTTGAAATTGTCTCGGACAAAATGTATGTAACCAAAGGACCTGAGGGTCACCAAAACACAGATATTGAGTGCAAATGCAGCTCCTGCACAAGCATGGGCCCTTATAAAATTGTAATAAGTTACTTTAAACAAAATCACACACCCATTCAATCAATTCATAAAATATTGTGCTGTGAGATGAAATTGAGAAATATGTGAATGCAGACAGCAAGAATAGATAATCTTGAATAAACTATTTTACGGATTTGTTTCTATTGAATAGTCAAGTTCAGAGTCCGAATCCACCGGGATAATTTTCCCCCACATGTAAGTGGAAAGTTTACTTTTAAAATCAGTGATACTCTCTATCTCACGGATATCTAGAGGAATGTGATTCCACTTAGTGTGGGTCCTATAGAAGAAATTCTTGGCAAAAGCGTTGGAGCTTGCTCGAGGTGAGATAGAGCTTACAAAACATAGAGAGTCCATGTGACTATTTCTGAGCCTTGAGTGGCCTTGAAATGGTTGCAAATATGAGGGTAAAGTGACAGGTATATGTTGCTTCACAATTTTAAAGAAGAAGATGAGATCCAAGAAGTCAAAGCGGTCTTCAATCGGCATAATCTTCAGCTGTCTGCATTTTTGAATGTATGTGGATGGTGGATAACTCATATACTCCTCGTGAAGAATCCACTTAATAGCACGCTTTTGGAGGCCCTCCAGCTTGCTTATCTGGGATTTTGTGACTGGTCTCCATATAACCGAGCAATGCTCAAATAGGCTCCTCACTAAAGTGAGATACAGTACTCTACGACGATTTACGTCTTGGACAAAATAACAATTTCTTCTCGCCATGCCTAATTTTTGGTTTGCCTTAGAAAGGACTTTGGAGCACTGATCTTTCCAATCGAGATTTGATGTCACAATTACACCCAGATCCTTTTCATGATCAACATAGTCAAGTGTGATTCTTCCCATGGAGTATACAAAGTTAAAGAGTGGTAGGACACTAAGGAGGGAAACTGTTTCGGATATCCTTCCTGCGACGGTGAGGACCTTACATTTGTCGGGATGAAATCTCATTTTATTAGAAAGTGACCAGTCATGGAGATAATCAATGTCCTTCTGCAGTCGCAGGATATCAGGATCGCAGGATATCAGACTCCGAAACAATCTTGTGACCTTTAGGTTTTACTTTTAATTAATTTAAATTCATTTCAGGTGCATCGTGGACTCCACCTTCAAGTTTATTGAAACAGACTCGAATTTGCAGCCTCATTCAGACCCCAAATCTAAACGATTTATCTTTAAAGCTTTTAGCTTTTTGGACAGCCAGACTCCGATCTACATTCACGCTGTTATAAAAGTCTGTAGTTTTTCGGATAACAGGTAATGGTATTATGATGTCATTATTGATTATATTCATTGAGCTATGTAGGCAGGCATCTTCATTGAGTGTAGTTGAACTCTTTTTGTAAACGTTAACACATTCAAAAACCATCTGTTTAAAGAATATTCAAAGTCGGCCTTCCTAAATTAATTTTCTTCCGTAAAAGTAAAATAAAATAGAACCTTTCCATTTCCCGGGAACTTAGCTCAAGGATTAATTTTTAGAATATGTGTTTACTTCATCAATCATTTAATTATCATTTTATATACTCATTTTATATAACTCGACTGTATCCAATCCTTATGACTTTATTCATAATTCATCAACACTTTCAGTTTTGGCTGTACAGACTTGTGCTTAAAAAACAGACGGAAGAGATTCGCTGAAGTATCAAGTGATCTGAACGGTTTACAGTTCCACATTTATCAAGGACCGATAGTGCCTAGTCATCCCGTTGAAATCAGAGGTGAGATAAAAATTACAATTCTGATCCTGAAATTATGGACAGAAAAGTGAATTAATGATGATCAGTTCTGGTGAAGTTTTGCCGGACTTTATGACACTATAAACTTATAAACTTCTAAAGCTATAACATTTCAGTTCCGATGACATTTACCAAAACTTTTGTTGAAGATCAGAAGTTAAACAATGGCGAGGAACTGATTTTAGATGTACATGTGATTGCTAAGCCGGTTCCAGAGAGAGTAACTTGGAAGCTTGATGACACTGACCTTGTGGATAATAAGTAAGTTTTGTCCGTTATCATGGTAATGAAATTCAATATCAAATTGGATCGAATTTTAATCAAATTGCACATATACAATTTTAAACTCAAAATAACATGATACATTTCATCAGTGCCTAGTTTTTGATGTTGCTTATATATCCAGCTTCCAGGGTACTACTTAAAAATTAAGTCTTATTATTGATACTCTTGAAGAAATTAAATTCCATTTATTATCAGGGCCACTATATTCATTGAGGAATCTTTCGACCCAGCAACCTACATCACAACGTACACACTGAAACTTGTAGACCTTAAAGTGGAACAATCAGGAGTGATAACCGTAGAACTGACTAGTGAACTGAACGAAACTATATCTGATTCTATGACTCTCACTGTGCTTGGTAATATTTCTGGACACTTCTTGAGAGACCAGTCAACAGTAGGAATATTCCGACGTTAACACCCGATAAAAGTTTAGATTAAAAATATAAGTACAAACTTTAAAAAGTAACTCCAAATTTACCTAAAGAATTCAGAGATTTAATCTACATATTTTCAGATGAGCTGGTTTTGGGAGTTGGTGTAAAATTAGTACCTGGAATTTTGACCTTCTTCCTCCTGCTGCAGGTTCTGCTGTAGCACAATAAGGTTTATCAAGATGACTATATCGTAAACTGAGCTAACGTTAGCTATTGTAAATACTAAATAGACTAATAGTCCAGTCATTTATGGAAATTTATGGAGGTGTACCTGCAAATTTTCAGATACTCACGAAACTTTGCACAGACCTTCCCAAAGGTATGAATAAACAATTTTCGGTTGGAGACATTTTTTTTACCGTGGGCAAAACCCAGGAGGGCCACGCCCATATTGACCCAATAACGTAACTGACCCCTTGCTTCTGAAGGTCGTAGAGACTTCAAAATAAGCTTAAACGAAGCCGCATATGCATGTTTATATAAGAGTTATTGATCAACACATGGCCTAAAATCCTTACTTTTCGAGAAATTCGCCAAAAACCATTTTGGGCGTGGCGCTGAGCCCATTTTACTAACTTTTGATAGGATTGTGATAGAGTCTTTGGATAGAGTGCAAAAGAACCGCAATTGGCATATTTATATATGACTTACGAAGAAACATATGCCTTAAAGTGCTTGCTTTTTCAGTTATTGGCGAAAAACTGATTTTCGGTTCCAGAAATCATGCAAAAATATGGGTATCTGGTATATTGGGCTATGAAGGCCCTAGAGATTTTTGAATAAGTGCAAATTGTGCAGAATGGCCATGTTTATATACAACTTATGAAGCAACATGCACCCTAAAATGCTTACTTTTCGAGTTTATATTTGGGGAAAAAACAGAGAAAATTTGCACAAAATAGAGCAAAATTGGTTATATCAGCCATTTTTGCCTCCCGTTCTATGTTAATAACTCGAAAAGTAAGTATTTTAGGGTGCATGTTGCTTCATAAGTTGTATATAAACATGGCTATTCTGCACAATTTGCACTTATTCAAAAATCTCTAGGGCCTTCATAGCCCAATATACCAGATACCCATATTTTTGCATGATTTCTGGAACCGAAAATCAGTTTTTCGCCAATAACTGAAAAAGCAAGCACTTTAAGGCATATGTTTCTTCGTAAGTCATATATAAATATGCCAATTGCGGTTCTTTTGCACTCTATCCAAAGACTCTATCACAATCCTATCAAAAGTTAGTAAAATGGGCTCAGCGCCACGCCCAAAATGGTTTTTGGCGAATTTCTCGAAAAGTAAGGATTTTAGGCCATGTGTTGATCAATAACTCTTATATAAACATGCATATGCGGCTTCGTTTAAGCTTATTTTGAAGTCTCTACGACCTTCAGAAGCAAGGGGTCAGTTACGTTATTGGGTCAATATGGGCGTGGCCCTCCTGGGTTTTGCCCACGGTAAAAAATGTCTCCAACCGAAAATTGTTTATTCATACCTTTGGGAAGGTCTGTGCAAAGTTTCGTGAGTATCTGAAGATTTGCAGGCAGCTGTCCTTAAATGACTGGACTATAATGGGTTATGAACTAAAGAGAGTTGTTCATTGGGAAATTTTTAAATTATATTCAAATAATCGCAGAAAGTGAGGTGATTTTCTTTAGTGTAATTAGGTTAACAACAATTGTGATTTATATCACAGTTTAAACATCATACAATCAACAACAACAATGATATAATATTTTTGTAAATGTTTTTGATGTGGTGTATCATGTTATGTTAACGATAACAATAATTTGTTTTCTATTTCAAACGCGTTACATTGATTGATTAATACAACAGTGTAGACTATAATTATGATATATAATTGTGATACAAATTTATATTATAATCGTGTATTTGACCAGTACAAAGTAACTTTATAGAGATATTACGTTTTACAGAATGCAGCTATTTCGTTTTCCTCTGAATTTCAGGAATCAACTAATCAACTAATCGACTAATCAACTAATCAAATAATCAACTAATCAACTAATCAACTAATCGACTAATCAACTAATCAACTAATCAACTAATCAACTAATCAACTAATCAACTAATCAACTAATCAAGCTGAAATTGGTCTATTCAGCGAACAATTTGACAGCCGACTCCGATCCTATCTATTAATTTCGCCAACGCTTGGATGCCATTGGCATATCAACGGAAACTAAATCGTAACAATCTAAAAACAGTTTACAATAAAATCGAATTTAAAAATTAGTGTATAGTAGAAGTTTAGATTAAATTTACATTGAACTTGATTAAACATAGACAAAGGACATTCGCCAACAAAATCTTCTGAAAAGGTCAACACTCATAACAAAATAAACGTTTTAGTTAACAATACAAAACCATTAAAAACGTGCCATTTAAGGAAGATTAATTCTGACGTTTATTCGCTTCACGGCAATCTGTAAGAAACTAAAAATATGATGAACCAATCCCGGTGTTTCAAGATAATTAGGGAAATAATTTCTCGTGACTAGATATACTCAGTGAATATAAATATGTTGTCTTAGATTAAGGCGACAGTCTCATGCCACCTAATAATATATTCCAAGAAAGGCGGGGTGGATTCAATTCCTGGACAACTTAATTCAGTTAAAACTTAACAGTTACCCACATATTAATTATCATGTTTGGCTGACAGGAATCCCAATCCTCTGACACTTTTATTTTAGACATTAAGTTATTTGTTCCACATCAATACAGAATTTAATTGATCGAACGTCCCGGGTTCACCTCAATTTCCAGTCCATTATTAACTTGTCCATTCTCACTAGTGCTCACATAATCATCAGGGCTGAGTAACTCATCATCGTCTACTTCTTGCTGGTCTTCTTGAAGAAGTTCGGGGTCCATGTGGTCCGGCTCACCCTGCAGTCGTGCTAACCAACCGTCCCATCTGAACACGTGTTAATTAGGTGTTAATTAGGTATTAATTAAATATGTGGATAATGAGATGGACCCTTGAAATACCCCCAAGAGATATCGGCAGTTTTTGATTTTGAGATTTTAAATGGGAGTGCTTAAAAGACAAAATCAGAGAAATGAAACTGATGACACTGCACGCAACCGTGGGAGAATAATATGAGCTTACAGAGTGAGTACAAGAGCAACTGCCTCCAATACGACGAGAATGGTAAACGCAAATCCCGGGAACCACTTCCTGGTATACAAATAAACTTGATATAATCCTACTGATGATATCAGAGTGGCCAGGGACTCGAAACAGTTCAGCAACATAAACAACTGAAATGAGAATTTGATAAAATATGTTCTGTTGAGGAAAAATATGAGATTTTGAATCTCTCCCAGGCCACGTACCTCCGAATTAGTTATTAGTTACCAATTAGTCAGCTAATCATATTCCTAATTACCGTAAAACTAACACATTCTTTCTCGTATATAAAAGACTACAAAACATGGCACTCTGACAAGTTTTACAAGTTTAATTGACAAGTTTTACAAACCTGACCATACTGGGTCGGTTTCACAACTTTAGATAGTCGAGATCTGTACAAAGCCAGCGCTACACCACTGCCCCCTTTCAACAGGTTCGCTGGAGATACAATGATCTGTCGTGATATGTCATAATTAATCAATTAATATATTAATCTATAGATAACTAATTTCTATTATTTATACCACACTTCGTTAATAAAAACATACTAAAAAACGATATATCCGAGCTATTCAATGCTTGACCTATCATGGAAAAAAAGAATTATGCACCTTATTATAAATTCAATTTTAACTACTCACTATATTTATTATATAATATGTATATGTATTATATATTATCAATTAATATAGCTGCTGCTACCTACCAAGTTATATAAACCCATTTTAAAAAGATGTCTCCAAACAAGATATGATTCCGTTAAAAATTGTTTTTTACCGGACAAAATTTAAATTTTAACTTTATTCAGCGCTTAGAATTAAGACTAACTCAGTTATCAACAATATCAGCATCGATAAAATTATCTTTAGTCGTGAATTCTGGCGGGGAGGTGAGGCATATTTTTTACTCGTGACAGCAATTAACCAATCAGCTTCCACTATTGACCAATAAAACCGGGCAGAATCACTCTCACGTGTAAAACAAATATGCCTCACTTCCTCACCAGAATCCGCATCCATAGATACGAAAACTATACTTAAGTCGAAGATAATATAATTATAGATTAAAAGAGAAGAGCACAGTACCCACCAACAGTCATGAGGGTAAAGCTCCTAGCAATCGTGACCACTCCAAAACCCAAACAACACATTCCGCAGGAGATAGAGGCGATCAGGGTCTCAGGTATTCTTGCCATCTTCATGAAGGGAACTAGTATCACCATCAGGAAGTTAGCTATACTTGATACTGAAAATAAGAAATGATTATGAATAGACTTTCAGATCCTGAGGGCGATATCACGAGATTTAATTTGTTGAAACTTGAATAAATTGTGATATGGTTGAAGATGATAACTTTCTTTGAACAACGGATTTTATTTTAGATATTTTTTGTAATTCCGCCGAGAACTCCACAGAATACTTGTAGTTTTGGAAGGTGATCCAATTAAAACTTGTTTCATACTCACTGGAGGAGATGAGACCAATTTTGTCGGCAGGCCAGTTGAATGGAGGCAACAACAAGTAGTTAACAAAGAATCCTGCGTAAGAGAGGAATGCGGTGAAGTGGAGCAAATATGCAGCCGAGAGAATGTAAATTCTGGCACGATATCTGGATGGTCCTGTATAAACGTCTACCATCTGTGAAAACGCCTGTAAAAGTAACGGTCAGATGAAGGAGATGGAGATACGGGTCTGATGTTTAGGATATCCTCATTTTAACATTTTATTATTATTATTAATTATGATTTAACAGGATTGTGCACACAATACATTAATGCCGAATGCGGTAATCCTTATTAAATTCATTTAACGTAGTGAGTGTTCATTCTAAGATGGTATTTAATACACATTTATTCCTCCCTAGTCTCCCAATCAACATCCTTTCAGATTCAGTACCTAATGATTTATTCGAGACCTCCCTAGTCTCCCAATTAACATCCTTTCAGATTCACCACATAATGATTTCGATCCTCCAGTATTAGTATAATGATCATCCCCTTCAAGTAAATTTTTTGTTTAAAATGGTCCTTAAATGCTTAATGAATGAAGCTGCCACCATGCGTCGAATAATTTAATCGATCCAGCTCAAAATTGATAGAAGATCAACTTGTTCCAAAGGATTTGTGGCCAGAAGAAGGCCGGTAATACTTATGTTCGGAACATTAGTTCATAACATAAGTGTTACCGATATGGTTTACAGATCCAGTCTTAATTTAAAACTTTTAATCATAAAAAATCATCGCTATTTAAACGAATTCGTAGCGCTTATAGAACTACTATTTAAACGGCACAGACTACAGAAGCATGCAATACACTAATACAGTAAGGTGATCCAATAAGAAGGCGCTTCACCCCTTGCAAAGGCTTATAAAGTGGAGTTGTTACAGAGGTGTTCCCTCTTACTGTCGAGGTGGTACAGGTATCCGTAGAGCAGTATGTTGGCACCTCCTTTCCGTACTTGGATGAAATCGATAGTTTGAGAAGACGGGGAAAAGTAAAAAGTAACTCTGTCTACAACTAATTAGCTGATCGACTTATTAACTAATTAACCAAAACGTAATCACTTGGTTTAAATCAATCGATACTTGATTCGCAGCATAAGATGGCGTTCGAATGATTATCTCGAATAGCGCGACAATCTTTAAAAACACGAGCCTGTAAATATGCACACGTGGGGTGAGTCTGTGAAGGTCATTTAATTCGCAAGACGATATTAAACTGCTAAATGCTAAGAGAAAAGTTGGCATTAACTTACTTCCTTGAAACTGACGGATTCGGATCTTGGTTTCTTCGCTCGTTGAGGATCTCTGATGACAAAAAGCACGTAGAAACCCAGGCACAACTGCGAATAAAATCGAATTATTGAAAAATTTTAATCTGAATATTTGTTACAATGAACTTATAATCTACGAGGCCCTCCTTGCTCGCCAACTTTTGAATTATAAATATAATGTACAATATCAGACTGCAGATAACCGGATTGTTCAATGATGAAACTGAATTAATTGAAAATGTATCCAATTATGACTTATGAGTGCAGAAGTTCGACAGAATTTTTTGTCGAACTTTTGTACGTATCCAAGAACTGTCTGTGTAGTGCGTGGAATTAATCCTCAGGGTGCGTTGAACCTAAGCACGTGTCGAACAGTATGTATACCCTCCACACTCCTAAAGTCCTAATTAGTATTACAGTTTAACACTATCGTTGTGCGGTTTATTATGTTCAGTGAAATAAATACCTCTCCCTGGGATTATTAAAACTGTGCATGTGCAGAGATCATTTATTGAGCGGGATGGATAAAAATAACGCCACCCCTTTCTTTCTATCCCGTCCCTTTGCAGTATTCCGTAAGTTTTCAAAAAGGAGCAAAGGTATTAGCAGTTAGTACCTTACCACCTCACATGTAAATGAATAAGCTCGTTATGCTTCATATCTCGGTCATATGAGAAGCTAGAAATTATTTTTGAATCTGAGAAATTCAGGATGGTTTCTTATTAAGTTATAAAAGTACATTATCAACCTACAATCTATAATTTACCTAGACTGAACACCGTGTCGTGAGGGAGGGACTAAAACCATCCTTTCCATGTGACAGTCTTTAAGCTTTTCGTTCAATAACTCCAACAGCCCAACAACTAATAACTATTTTTTCATGTACACTGTACAGTAAAACCCCCTATGCCGGGCATGTCGGATGAAACGAAAAATAAATGATACAGAAAGAACTAAAGAACTTGGTATAAGAAAGATGACGCTAATCCCCAGTATCTGTCAAGCGTCGAGCGTATTATTAGTTTAGTGCACGTGTATTGTGGTTACAGTGTCGTATTAAGGGGGGGGGGGGGGGGGGGGGGGGGGGGGGGGGGGGGGAGGGGAAGGGGGTTCACATTATAGAGATAAACACGGTATAATAGAGGTTTACTGCTCTCTAAAATCTAAATTACTATTAACTACTAAAACAGTAAAAGGGCATAATATATAATTAATCGGCGCTATCTTGGTCCAGCTTTGTAGGTTTATAACCTACCAGGACGCGCGCCGAGTTGGACTCGTCGACGGTCCTGTCGAAACAAATATTTTACGAGTATCACCCGTTAAGGTCCAGCTTTACGGTAAATCTCGATGATGTCTTAAACGAATTATTTTTGCTCTAAAAAAGTTCCAAAACACTCATAGAAATTATAGTCCAAAGTGTCTAGAGATTATCCTTGTCAAAAACATCGTTGAAACTTTAATTTTAAATGAGTCATGAGTGAAAAATGTCAAATGATCTGATCTGTTTAACACACCCTGTATGTAAATTGTAAATGTTAGACTAAATTTGTTAACACCAGAAAATTTGCAGGCCAATCTTTTGGCAGTAAATTAACTTTTTCGTCTGTTCGTTCAACACTCAGGGGACTTCTGAGGAGCGGAGTTGTCATTTACTAATAACTGTTTTGAGTTCTGTGCGGACGAGAAGAAGATCTAGACTAACGGTGTAGCACCATCTGGGTACTGAGGTTACTGTCCGCTTCAATATATATATTTACGTGAGCAACTACGTTGTTAAGCGAAGAGAGTCGTTTGTTACTTAGTAAACTATGATATTGAATTACAAATTTGACCATCGAAGGAGGTATTTTACCTCTTACCAGAAGTAAAATTCTTATTCTCCATGAGGTAGCCCATTGTTTAAACTTCAAACATCCAATGAGCCGCGTTCAAAGCAGTATATAAAGCTACCATCATTTGATATTTTTATCTATTCACATCGTTCAAGCTGAAAATGAAGCAACAACTTTCTCAACTCCTGTTCCTGGGTCTCCTGGCCGCACAAGCTCTCTCTGTCCACTACCAGCTGGATGTCGTTACTGGATCTCGGAAGTACGACGGCACTGACGGTAGCTTTGTAGCAAAGGTAAAAGGAAGCAATGGCGAGGTAGTGTTTGGTGTACTAGACGACCCATCGAAGAATGATTTCCAGTTGGGAGCAACTGACAACTTTGCAGCCGATTCCGACATTGACATCGGTAAAGTGAAGTGCGTGGAAATCGAAGCTAAATCAGATGACGCGTGGATGGTGGACTACATAACAGTGACTGCTGGCTCGGAGAAGACATACGTGTACAACACTGACGGGAGCTATCTGTCCTCAGATACAAGTGAAGGAATGGATAAGATGAGCTTTTGCAAGCAGGGGGATGCAACCTACGTTCTCGCGATCACGACTAAAAATGAGAATCACGCCGGCACGGACAACATCCACGCTAGACTGACAATTAGCAGCACTAAAAGCAGGAAGGGGAACACCACCACAGGGATTCTGGACAATAAAGGTAAAGACGACTTTATTGCCGGAGCAACAGACACCTTCATCCTGCCCAACCTAAAGAACATTGGAAAAACTGGCTGTATCTTCATCACTGCTGCTCAAGATGATGCCTGGCTGTTTGACGAGATTAAAGTTACACGAGGTAAATCTTCCCGGACTTTCAAGAACAAGGAGAGCACGTGGCTGTCATCAGACTTACGAGAGGGGAAAGACGAACTTGAGATTTGTTATTAAGTGTTTAAGTAATGAACAGTGGACTAGTAGTATGCATTTAAGCATTTGGTTAATTCCATGTTAGCTTTAATTGAGTTAAGAATACATTTTCAAAAATTTTACCAAGAATTTCAAAATCATGCAACTTCGCAGTTTGAATTGTCATCGAATTGATAAAATCTTTTAATGCAGCACCATATCTCAGATATGCACATATAAAAACATAGAAATAAATCAGCAATGCGCGCTAGGACAGTAACCCTTATAACAAAAAGAATGTGTGAAAAAGTGGAAAGTCTAGATTTTAAAGAATCAATAAATCTAACACTCAGCTCCGTTTTCTTTCACTTTCGGTGAATCTACAATATGATCCACCATAAAGTTCGATTCTTGAACTTCTCTCCGCTCACACACGGACTACTACAAAATGTTACATTTGAGCTCAACTTGGCGCCCTTCTTCCATCCCATACAAAGATGGCGACCATTATTTCTGAATTCGTTATAATCGTTAATTTTTCATGATATGCTAAATGTTTATCTCTGTCACCTACACTGTTTTATGGGTAATCTGGGAAGTGCTCAATAGTCTTCATCAGCTGCGGTCGGCGTCAGAAGTTTTAACGGGTGATACTCGTAAAATATTTGTTCCATATATTACCGTCGACGAGTCCAACTCGGCGCTCGTCCTGGTAGGTTATAAACCTACAACAGAAGTTATACAAATCATGTGGCCCATGATCGTATTGATATATTTAAGGGTCTCACGTGAATTTGAAGGGATTTAGTGAGGTGGCAACGTTCGATATTTCGTCTTGGTAAGAACTGTAAATATTTGCAAATTTCCAGTTCGGCTTATACCAGGCACGTAGACAGGGGGGCTAGGGGGGGCGGCAGCCCCCCCCCCCCCCCCCCCCCCCCGGAAAAAATCGAACCCCAGAAAAAAGATAAGCCCCCTAGTCCCCATGGTCGCCTGGTAACTGGGCTGTGTTTATGACTGCAGCCAGTCAAAGATTTGAACTGTGGATTAGTAAATATCTGTCATAACATCCAAGCAAACATTCTAAGATTCTAGAAGACTTCTATAAATAGTCAATAGTGTCCCCTAGACCGTAGGAAATGAAAAATCTTAAGACGATGAGGCCTGAGTAAGTCGTAAATTCCGATTGGAGAATGCAGATTGCTGTTGTGGAGTTACCCCCTAGCCCCCGCCAAAGAAAAATCCTGGCTACGTCCCTGGCTTATACTTGTCAGACTACGGTACCTTTAACCTTAGGAGAGATATATATACATGGTGTGAGAACCGAAGTGGCCAGTGATGGAGGTGTAAATTGTGGGAGCATAAGCACAAAGTGGAAAGATAAAATTGATGTAAGCAGTGAATGAGGTAAGGGACGAAAATATAGAGTGTCACCCAAAAAGGTACGTAAACATATGGCCAGACCAGAAATAAATCAGCAATGCGCGCTAAAAACGCGTGCGTGCTAAGTAAGCCCTGTTGCTTCGTTTGAACATTAAAAAGATAACAATACTTCGCGTGCTCCGTAACAAATGTCGCGTGTAAAATGAAACTCGGGACTGCAAGGTTTGACGTCCTTGATTGTTCACAACTCACAAGTGACCAGATGTTCGGTGCTATGATAAATCAAAATATTTAAATGTTTAAGAGGTTAGTCGAGTAAATATGATAGAGCTAGTTTATGAATTACCCTAACACCAGTAGGCAGTAAGATTATACACTCTCCAGTCTCCACCATGTTCCCTATCAAATTACTCAATCACCTGATCCAATTTCTAAGTAATTTCCTAGCTCCTTTTCGATTTAAAAGTTGACGAACAGGGGGAACTAATTGGAATTATCAAAAACCACGTACCAATTTCAACGACTTGTCTGACGTCTTTACATCAATAATTTATGAAAACCAAATATCTAAGCCTCTACATCAATTATACATAATAATTACTTACTTACTTTAGGTTACTTTAGGTTACTTTAGGTTACTTTAGGTAGGTTCGGCAGGGATCTAAAATAACAGAGGAAATAATTAATAAAGCTCACGTTAACAGAAACGCAAAGTAGTGGTGTGCTGTACCAGGTAGCATGGGACATCAACAGACCGCTTACAAACGTACCTACAATAAGAGGTTATCTTTCAATACTTATTACTGATAAAGTACAGCTTTATTATATATAATAACATGGCATGTATGGTGTTTCACTGGTAACTTCCATTCATATCAGATTGAGATAAAGTAATTTACTGTCATAAAGCAACTATTCCTCACAGTTAACAATGCCGCATTAATTTTTAAAGTGCATTCTTACAATCAGTAAGAGATTGACGTTGTACTAGTCATCTAACAAATTCAATCTCTCAATGTACATGCCCTTTACATAACGTAGTATCTCCGATGTTTTTTATTGACCTACTTAGTACTTATAAATAGTTTGCTAGATATGACATGTACTTACATTCCCGATATAAGGAACTAACGTCTTATCAAGGCAATGAGTTTAGTGGCTCAACTCACCAAACATGGCCCCAAGTTGCAACATGCCATCTGCTATTGCAATCCGAGATGTCCTGCTGTTCTTATCCGCAATATCCGAGATGTACGCCATTGCTGTCCTGAAAATAGAAAACATGAGAATGGTGTGAGAGGTGACATTGCTGTCCTGAAAATAGAAATCATGAGAATGGTGTGAGAGGTAACATTGCTGTCCTGAAAATAGAAAACATGAGAATGGTGTGAGAGGTGACATTGCTGTCCTGAAAATAGAAATCATGAGAATGGTGTGAGTGGTAACATTGCTGTCCTGAAAATAGAAATCATGAGAATGCTGTGAGAGGTAACATTGCTGACCTGAAAATATTAATCATGAGAATGGTGTGAGAGGTAACATTGCTGTCCTGAAAATAGAAATCATGAGAATGGTGTGAGAGGTAATATTTCTGTCCTGAAAATAGAAATCGTGAGAATGGTGTGAGAGATAACATTGCTGTCCTGAAAATAGAAATCATGAAAATGGTGTGAGAGGTAACATTGCTGTCCTGAAAATAGAAATCATGAGAATGGTGTGAGAGGTAACATTGCTGTCCTGAAAATAGAAATCATGAGAATGGTGTGAGAGGTAACATTGCTGTCCTGAAAATAGAAATCATGAGAATGGTGTGAGAGGTAACATTGCTACATCCTGAAAATAGAAATCATGAGAATGGTGTGAGAGGTAACATTGCTGTCCTGAAAATAGAAATCATGAGAATGGTCTGAGAGGTAACATTGCTGTCCTGAAAATAGAAATCATGAAAATGGTGTGAGAGGTAACATTGCTGTCCTGAAAATAGAAATCATGAGAATGGTGTGAGTGGTAACATTGCTGTCCTGAAAATATAAATCATGAGAATGGTGTGAGAGGTAATATTTCTGTCCTGAAAATAGAAATCGTGAGAATGGTGTGAGAGATAACATTGCTGTCCTGAAAATAGAAATCATGAGAATGGTGTGAGAGGTAACATTGCTGTCCTGAAAATAGAAATCATGAGAATGGTGTGAGAGGTAACATTGCTGTCCTGAAAATAGAAATCATGAGAATGGTGTGAGAGGTAACATTGCTGTCCTGAAAATAGAAATCATGAGAATGGTCTGAAAGGTAACATTGCTACATCCTAAAAATAGAAATCATGAGAATGGTGTGAGAGGTAACATTGCTGTCCTGAAAATAGAAATCATGAGAATGGTGTGAGAGCTAACATTGCTGTCCTGAAAATAGAAATCATGAGAATGGTCTGAGAGGTAACATTGCTGTCCTGAAAATAGAAATCATGAGAATGGTGTGAGAGGTAACATTGCTGTCCTGAAAATAGAAATCATAAGAATGGTGTGAGAGGTAACATTGCTGTCCTGAAAATAGAAATCATGAGAATGGTCTGAGAGGTAACATTGCTGTCCTGAAAATAGAAATCATGAAAATGGTGTGAGAGGTAACATTGCTGTCCTGAAAATAGAAATCATGAGAATGGTGTGAGTGGTAACATTGCTGTCCTGAAAATATAAATCATGAGAATGGTGTGAGAGGTAATATTTCTGTCCTGAAAATAGAAATCGTGAGAATGGTGTGAGAGATAACATTGCTGTCCTGAAAATAGAAATCATGAAAATGGTGTGAGAGGTAACATTGCTGTCCTGAAAATAGAAATCATGAGAATGGTGTGAGAGGTAACATTGCTGTCCTGAAAATAGAAATCATGAGAATGGTGTGAGAGGTAACATTGCTGTCCTGAAAATAGAAATCATGAGAATGGTGTGAGAGGTAACATTGCTACATCCTGAAAATAGAAATCATGAGAATGGTGTGAGAGGTAACATTGCTGTCCTGAAAATAGAAATCATGAGAATGGTCTGAGAGGTAACATTGCTGTCCTGAAAATAGAAATCATGAAAATGGTGTGAGAGGTAACATTGCTGTCCTGAAAATAGAAATCATGAGAATGGTGTGAGTGGTAACATTGCTGTCCTGAAAATATAAATCATGAGAATGGTGTGAGAGGTAATATTTCTGTCCTGAAAATAGAAATCGTGAGAATGGTGTGAGAGATAACATTGCTGTCCTGAAAATAGAAATCATGAGAATGGTGTGAGAGGTAACATTGCTGTCCTGAAAATAGAAATCATGAGAATGGTGTGAGAGGTAACATTGCTGTCCTGAAAATAGAAATCATGAGAATGGTGTGAGAGGTAACATTGCTGTCCTGAAAATAGAAATCATGAGAATGGTCTGAGAGGTAACATTGCTACATCCTAAAAATAGAAATCATGAGAATGGTGTGAGAGGTAACATTGCTGTCCTGAAAATAGAAATCATGAGAATGGTGTGAGAGCTAACATTGCTGTCCTGAAAATAGAAATCATGAGAATGGTCTGAGAGGTAACATTGCTGTCCTGAAAATAGAAATCATGAGAATGGTGTGAGAGGTAACATTGCTGTCCTGAAAATAGAAATCATAAGAATGGTGTGAGAGGTAACATTGCTGTCCTGAAAATAGAAATCATGAGAATGGTCTGAGAGGTAACATTGCTGTCCTGAAAATAGAAATCATGAAAATGGTGTGAGAGGTAACATTGCTGTCCTGAAAATAGAAATCATGAGAATGGTGTGAGTGGTAACATTGCTGTCCTGAAAATATAAATCATGAGAATGGTGTGAGAGGTAATATTTCTGTCCTGAAAATAGAAATCGTGAGAATGGTGTGAGAGATAACATTGCTGTCCTGAAAATAGAAATCATGAGAATGGTGTGAGAGGTAACATTGCTGTCCTGAAAATAGAAATCATGAGAATGGTGTGAGAGGTAACATTGCTGTCCTGAAAATAGAAATCATGAGAATGGTGTGAGAGGTAACATTGCTGTCCTGAAAATAGAAATCATGAGAATGGTGTGAGAGGTAACATTGCTGTCCTGAAAATAGAAATCATGAGAATGGTCTGAGAGGTAACATTGCTACATCCTAAAAATAGAAATCATGAGAATGGTGTGAGAGATAACATTGCTGTCCTGAAAATAGAAATCATGAGAATGGTGTGAGAGGTAACATTGCTGTCCTGAAAATAGAAATCATGAGAATGGTGTGAGAGATAACATTGCTGTCCTGAAAATAGAAATCATGAGAATGGTGTGAGAGGTAATATTTCTGTCCTGAAAATAGAAATCGTGAGAATGGTGTGAGAGATAACATTGCTGTCCTGAAAATAGAAATCATGAGAATGGTGTGAGAGGTAACATTGCTGTCCTGAAAATAGAAATCATGAGAATGGTGTGAGAGGTAACATTGCTGTCCTGAAAATAGAAATCATGAGAATGGTGTGAGAGGTAACATTGCTGTCCTGAAAATAGAAATCATGAGAATGGTGTGAGAGGTAACATTGCTGTCCTGAAAATAGAAATCATGAGAATGGTCTGAGAGGTAACATTGCTACATCCTAAAAATAGAAATCATGAGAATGGTGTGAGAGGTAACATTGCTGTCCTGAAAATAGAAATCATGAGAATGGTGTGAGAGCTAACATTGCTGTCCTGAAAATAGAAATCATGAGAATGGTCTGAGAGGTAACATTGCTGTCCTGAAAATAGAAATCATGAGAATGGTGTGAGAGGTAACATTGCTGTCCTGAAAATAGAAATCATGAGAATGGTGTGAGAGGTAACATTGCTGTCCTGAAAATAGAAATCATGAGAATGGTGTGAGAGGTAACATTGCTGTCCTGAAAATAGAAATCATGAGAATGGTGTGAGAGATAATATTTCTATCCTGAAAATAGAAATCATGAGAATGGTGTGCAAGAGGTAACTTTTACTCTTTTATATCATGAGGTAACCAAGGTAACCAGGGTAACCAAGGTAACCACTAATCCTTAGTGACCGTGTAACTAAGAAGGTGAAAAAATTATGGTGGATTTTGACATTTTTGGAATAGTTGTGATAAAGTTACTATCTGCCAAAACTGGTTTTTCACTATCTTTAATGTCCAATGAACGATTCTCAAATCTAAGCAGTATAAGTGAGCGTCAAGCATGCCTGCTCTGTAACACTGATATAAAGGATCTTGATAAAGTGACATCAGACTATAATGAATTATTGGACAGTTAAACTTTTTGCAGTATCAAGTATTGTGAATTTAAAACTTGATTACTGTACGCTTGAATTCTCATTACAGATTGTAATATCTTAATATGCTTGCAAGATGCGACATATTTAAATTCATCAACTACGGATAAATAAGTGAGTTATACTTGAGTTGCTTCATAAGAATGAACTATAACTTCATAAGAATGAACTTTATAAGAATGAACTATATAAAACAAGAATTTCGCCGCGGTTACACCACGCACGATTAATTTTCCCTGCTTAAACCGTTAACATTTGCAACTAAACGAAAAGATAATTTTATCGATTAATAAAAATTAGATATTGTATTATTTTGTTGTTAAAAAGTTGCAATATTTTCATCGTAATTTGTCATTGCGCGCGTGCAGGATAATCGAATATTTAGTACGCCGCGCACAAACTTTGGGCTAATTTAATTTGAACGGCATCGTTTGACAATTGAAATTCGCGTTGGATACTGCAATTAACTAACACATGCCGAGCGTCGCGCGCAGCATAACAGACGCTTCCTATACTCATAATTATAGGGGAGTGGTCTATATTGCGAAGGAGCAGATTTTTGTCGTCAACGTAGGACCGTCGGGCCACCTCATATATCCAAACCCGATTACTTATTCCCTACGATCTTTTTGCCTTCGGCAAGAGCAGGGAAAAAAATTCCCACCGAACTGTATCTACAGATGCTGTGGTGATGGCCAAATTATCACTAGAAAATCTCCACAGTCTTTTTAACCCTAACTTGGAACAAATTTTATGATTATTATCTTCTCAAATTGCAACCGTTTCTTTGTGACCGTGTGATGTGAAGCCTTGCAAACAGGATTATATTATTACTATTTCTACAGATATCAGGAACTGTAAGATAAAACTGATATCATGTTCAAGGTAAGGAATTTGAATTATTGTAAGAGAAAACTAACACGTACACACACACACACACACACGCTTTGTGGTAACTAAAAGACGCGTACTGTACCATTACAGTGGTGTTATGTACAGTGCTGTGTGTGTGTAATTAAGTACCTTTTGTAACTTGTCATGAGGTTGCAGATGGACACTACTAAGAGTTGTTATTGATCAAACTAATTTGTTTAAATTACAGAACTGAATTTAAAAGTTAGTCTAATTAAATATGATTATAAACATTTATCTAAACATTAATAAGAAGATTACTCTCGTCTCTTACCCCATAAAAGCCCCAAATCCTCCACCAAAGTAAGCTATGAAGACTGCTATGTAGTAAATATATTTCGGCATCTGCATTACCAAGGAGTTCACCAGCAGAACTGTAATGAAACTGTAGTCAATATTGTGTAATCCTATTAGTACAATATATTAAACGTATTATAAGTACATACTTTTTGTACTTGTACTTGTTTACACATAAAACTAGTAATTATTTAATTTAAGGGACATCAGGTCCGGAAATACACTGTCGCCAATACATTTGGTCACAACTAAATAGCCATTATATATTATTATCAACTCTATGTCATTATTGTCGTCCCTAACTTTTTAAATACCACTCGGTTTTCAGTTAGATCAAACATATAATGACTACGACTAATTTACTTCCTCAAATGTACACAAAAACACTCTTCCGGTGTACTTTAAACAACACAGACCCACCCGTGTTTAGTACAATTACTATTGGTGGACAGTGTGACTTAAAGGATGTACAATGTATTATTATTACATCTACAATATCACACCAAATCAAGGAGGGTTTAAAGAGTGCACCAGGCATCTGCATTCCATAAACTAGATAAACTAGATACCATTCTATAAACAAGATACCATTCCATAAACTAGATAAACTAGATACCATTCTATAAACAAGATACCATTCCATAAACTAGATAAACTAGATACCATTCTATAAACAAGATACCATTCCATAAACTAGATAAACTAGATACCATTCTATAAACAAGATACCATTCCATAAACTAGATACCATTCTATAAACTAGATACCATTCTATAAACTAGATACCATTCTATAAACTAGATACCATTCTATAAACTAGATACCATTCTATAAACTAGATACCATTCTATAAACAAGATACCATTCTATAAACTAGATACCATTCTATAAACAAGATACCATTCTATAAACTAAATACCATTCTTTAAACAAGATACCATTCTATAAACTAGATACCATTCTATAAACTAGATACCATTCTATAAACTAGATACCATTCTATAAACTAGATACCATTCTATAAACTAGATACCATTCTATAAACTAGATACCATTCTATAAACTAGATACCATTCCATAAACAAGATACCATTCTATAAACTAGATACCATTCCATAAACAAGATACCATTCTATAAACTAGATACCATTCCATAAACAAGATACCATTCTATAAACTAGATACCATTCTATAAACTAATTACCATTCTATAAACAAGATACCATTCTATAAACTAGATACCATTCTATAAACAAGATACCATTCTATAAACTAGATACCATTCTATAAACAAGATACCATTCTATAAACTAGATACCATTCTATAAACAAGATACCATTCTATAAACAAGATACCATTCTATAAACTAGATACCATTCTATAAACTAGATACCATTCTATAAACTAGATACCATTCTATAAACTAGATACCATTCCATAAACAAGATACCATTCTATAATTTAGATACCATTCTATAAACTAATTACCATTCTATAATCTAGATACCATTTCATAAACTAGATACCATTCTATAAACTAGATACCATTCTATAAACTAGATACCATTCTATAAACAAGATACCATTCTATAATCTAGATACCATTCTATAAACTAATTACCATTCTATAATCTAGATACCATTCTATAACCTAGATACCATTCTATAAACTAGATAAACTAGATACCATTCTATAAACAAGATACCATTCTATAAACTAGATACCATTCTATAAACAAGATACCATTCTATAAACTAGATACCATTCTATAAACTAGATACCATTCTATAAACTAGATACCATTCTATAAACTAGATACCATTCTATAAACTAGATACCATTCTATAAACTAGATACCATTCCATAAACAAGATACCATTCTATAATTTAGATACCATTCTATAAACTAATTACCATTCTATAATCTAGATACCATTTCATAAACTAGATACCATTCTATAAACTAGATACCATTCTATAAACTAGATACCATTCTATAAACAAGATACCATTCTATAATCTAGATACCATTCTATAAACTAATTACCATTCTATAATCTAGATACCATTCTATAATCTAGATACCATTCCATAAACTAGATACCATTCCATAAACTAGATACCATTCTATAAACTAGATACCGTTCTATAAACTAGATACCATTCCATAAACTAGATACCATTCTATAAACTAAATACCGTTCCATAAACTAGATAACTGTCAGTAGTCTCCACGGCCCCTGAATATTAAGCTGAATACAGATGCAGAGGTAAACATTGTTGCATTATTAGAGTATAAGTACACACTAAATACACACTTATTTAAAACATATCCCCTTACCCGCAGAGCTGAATATTAAGGTTAATATTGTGTTACATTATCAGAGTAAATAAATAATAGTACACAATACATAATTGTATAACTACTAAAAACATAATATCCCCTTACCTGCAGAGCTGAATATAGAGGTGAAGACGGTGACTCTGAGGATAGTAGTCCTGGCAACCCTGTCTGCAATGTACCCCACTAGTAGGTTCACTACTATCCCCACCAGGCTGGACTCTATGCTAATGTACATGTTGAAGGTACTGAACTCTTGCGTGCCATTCTCTGATAGGTTCTGACAGATATCTTCTGATTTGTGGTAAAGACAGTGTCTGAATGGGCAGTGGTAATTAGCAGTGGTAATTAGCAGCACAATACATACAATATACACAATATACAGAACGAAAATAAAAGTAAAGTAAAGTAAAGAATATTAGCGATGAAAAGTGAAAACTTTACAATGCAAAAAACAGTGTTAAACCTGACAAGGGACTGGTTTTTGGTTTGTTCATACCAAACGTCAGCTTGGAAGATACCGGAATAGAATATGAGCTGCATGATGTAAGTGTACATGAAGAATAGCATCACTGGTTCAACCAGGTAGCGAGGAGAGTAAATCATGATAGCCCTAAGGGAGAATTGTGTCTTGTTTAAGTAGTTGTAGAATATTGTCATGGAAAATTATTGAGAGATAATAATATAAACTAATACAATTATTTATAGATGCGGATTCTCGTGGGGAGATGAGGCACATTTGTTTACTTTTAAGGGTAAGTTCTGTTCTGCACAAGACAGAGGTGATGCACATTTTGTATTTTCGAACACTTGTAACGCTTGTAACTCCTGCTACCCAGTACCCTGGCCCTCCTTGTAACACTTGTAACTCCTGCTACCCAGTACCCTGGCCCTCCTTGTACCCCTTTGGAAGTTTAGATTTATTTTCTGAACAAAGCTTGAAAATAACCGAGAAGTCAACCTTGTTATTAAGGTAAGGGGTCAACAAATTCGACAAAAATATTATTCACTAAATGGATTGATTTGTTGATGACTACAACATTGCTGCCATTCACATATTTGTAGCTGCTTAACTTTTTTTTATAAATGAGGTTAACTGGTTTTCAGAAAAATAACTATATAACATTGAGGTTAATAACATTGAGGTTAATATTTTATTAAACTGCAAGATTTTTTGTTATTTCGGTCAGCAAATGTAAACTCTAAATTCTAAGTCCATAATTTTCATAAAAAGTGATATCGCGATATCTCAGGAACGCAAGGTCAGATTTTGATCCGGTTTTTTCCTTCTTGTTTGTCTCCAGCAGCTATTATCAAATATTTGAACCTATAAAAGTGCCATTTCTTGCCTTAACTAATTTTGATGTCTGTTCCTAACCTAAAATGTCACGAGAAATCGATATAACTAAGAAGAACCTACAAACACTTCCTTATTCCTCAAAATTGATGTTTTACAGTTAATACAAGCAACCAGCAACATTATATATATTTTAACCCTTCGGTTCTACTCATGACCTAGATCGAGTCAATCGTCACCTTAACTGATCAAACCTGGATACTAACACAATTTTCAGCGAGAAATGTTTGTTGCAATATGTTAATTTGCAACTTTAAATGAAATAAACACAAAGTAGGTAACCAACAACACTAAACAATCATAATAAAACTGAATTAAATTTATTCTGAATGATGGGCAGCCATGTGCTCCGTGATCCTGAGCGACCAATAGTTATAAAGGCATAGTTGGTTCGTTAAAGTGCGTTATGGTTTGTTACTGCGTTAAGACTTAATATGTCATGTAATACTATTACTTTATAACATATTTTATAGTAATGTATCTTGGGCAAAATTTGTATTGATCAGGGAAGGAATTATTCAACGTTACGTTTAAATGTAACTACATCGCCGGAGGAGCGTGCAGTACATAAACAGCTGGTTCTAGATTTGAAGAAGAAGGTCAAGGAAAATCCTAATAAACGTTATTTTATCAGGACTGGTAAAATTTGTGAGATAGATGAGTGAGATATAATAGTTTATTTCTTATTCAATAATATAGATATTACATATTTCTTTGGCCATTTTACACTTTACATTTAATGGGAATATACATGCATTCTGGAGTTTAAATTATCACTTTGTCACCACGCCAGCCGCTTTGAAGTCGACAATTTTTATTTTAATAATATTGGTTGTTGATATAAGCGGGATATAAATGCTTTATTTCATTTCATTTCATTTCATTTCATTTCATTTGATGATCTCAAATTTTTAGTGTTAAAAGTATTTAATACTATAATAATAGCTTTTAAATTTTTTCAGGTTGAATTATCCAACAGCGTAGTGTACAACGCGACGTTGTCTTACAATTAGGTAACAAGGTGTCTTAAACTGAGTTTCATGACAATTCAAAATGTATAAATCTATAGAATTATCCTCATAGATGGTTTTACAATCTAGAAGACAGGTCCTAAAGTTTGGGGAAGACTACTCTTATACTGGTGATTCAGACCCACCCCTATCCCCCACAATCCCAGCACCCCTTGCCTCAGCCATAGACGCAGTTACATCAAAGTGCAGACTGACCCATAAGCCCAACTCCATCCTAATAAACTACTACCCTCCCTCAGTTGATACCACCACTAGTAGCAAGCTCCCTTTTCACTCTGACGATGAGTCTGAGATTATTGCTAACTCAGAAATTGCTACTATCAGCATAGGCGACGTCAGGAAGGTGTGCTTCAAGTGCATCCATGAGACCAGAAACGAAGCCTCAACTGAGTATGTTCATAGTGTGAGTCCAGAATCTAACTCAGTGTATGTGATGACACGATCGTCACAAGCCTGGTATCGTCACGGTATTGATGAAACAGGTCCTGCTGAAACTCAGTCTTCTGTGCAGACAGGAAGGTTCTCCATCACACTGAGAACTGTGAGCAAACAGTTTAGCCGGAGCTGCATCATCATGGGCGACTCTAACACCAAGCCCATCAAGTTCGGTGTCGGTACTGGAACCCTTGGACAGTCCTTCCCAGGTGAACGTGTTAAAGCCAACAAGGTCAGTGCAATAGACCCTAAGCTCTGCATTGGTTATAGCAACGTCATCTTAGTTTGTGGGACCAACGATCTACGAGTTGAAAATGTGCAGTCACCTGGTGATATACACCAGCTGGTAGACATTCTCCACCTGAAAATCCAGCAGATCCAGAAACTGTGCCCTAAGGCGAAGTTGTTTGTCACAGCAGTTTTACCGTCTAGACTCCCTAAGATGAATAAAAACATTATGGCATTCAACAGCTTGGTTGATGAAATGTTGTACTCTAGCTTTAACCAGACTGTATGGCACCTTGGTGTTGGCCACTTTTTAGACGGTAAAGGGTTGCTTGCTATAAAACTCACGAGAAATGGTGATGAAATCCATCTCGGAGAGCTTGGTATTGCTAAATTTGTGAGATGTCTGAAACAGTGGGTGTATGTGAGGGAGAGACAGGAGAGAGTAAGACAAAGGAAGGCCACCCGACCAGTGGGAGTTTATCCCACTTAGTTTATCATGATTATGAAACTTATTAAAGATGTGTGCGACCCCTGTAGTAAATACATTAATATTGGCCAGCCACTCTTAGAATGTGAAAATTGCAGCAAAGTTGTCCATACTAAGTGCTTCAGATCCGCGAAATTTACAAGCAAAAACGGTCTATGGATGTGTAGTGATTGCTGTAGTACAATAGAAGATAGGTATTGCCCATTTCCAAGCAGCCAAAGATATGATGATTCAGATAAATTCTATGATACAAACAACCAGGAAGATGTCACCATAGCTAAATTCTCTTCAATACTTGAAGACTGTAAGCGTTACACAAAACAAGAACTAACAAACTCAATCAGCAAACTTTTTCCTGACAAAAATAAAAATTCTGCTTATCTGCCCGCTCTGTTTTGCAATATAGATGGGTTTGCTAGTAATTTTGACAGCTTTTTAATAGAACATAAGACCCTCCCGTGTAATTTTGATGTCATTGGATTGGCTGAGACCAACATCGATCCAAGCCAACAAGGCTTATACCAAATCCCCTCCTATACAACATTTTGTCAAGTACCATTCCCTGATAAGAAAAAAGGAACAGGAGTATCCTTATATGTCTCTGATCGCCTGAATGCTGTAGTAATCGAAAATCTATCACACTGTACAAAAGATATTGAGTGCTTATTTGTTGAAATTACTCTTAGCTCGGGTGATAAACTGACATATGGGGTTGCTTATCGTCCTCCAAATGGCTGTAGTGAGACCTTTTGTCAAACTCTTGAGGATATATCTAAGCAGTTGGCTGGTAAAAAGTTCCATATTCTTGGCGATTTTAACTCTAACCTCCTCAATGTACAAACCTCCAGCCAGCTATTTGAGGACACGTTACTTCGTAACAATATGTATCCTACTATATCACTTGCTACCCACTTCCGTCCTAACTGTAAAAACTCATGTATTGACAATATCCTCACATCAGAGATAGATCATGTACTTCTCTCCGGTGTTTTGAATGATAGGATTGGTGACCATGCCTTTATATTCACCTTCACGTCAATTCCTACCGAAAACAGTACTGAAAAACTTAAACATGTTCGCTACTATGATTATTCAAGTTCCAAACTCACTAATTTTGTTAATGAACTCGAGGTGAAGGTGAATGACTTAACTCCCTCGGTAAACTTCAATGAGTTCTTGGACTGCTTCAATGAAACACTTGATAAACACTGTAAGCTTGATGTACCAAAAGTTACCAAAAGGACTCCCAAACTCAACCCGTGGATTACCGATGGAATCATTGTCTCAGTTGAAAGAAAACATGAACTCTGTAGAGACTGGTCAAGCACTGTAACAAATAGAAACCCTGAGGGTAATGTACTGCTCTATAAAGTCTTCAGTGACTACCGAAGAATGCTTAAAAGTATTATCAAGGTCGCCAAACGATCGTACTACTGCAATGAAATCTATAAAAATATAGAAAACAGCAAAAAAACGTGGCAGATAATCAATGAGCTCAGGGGCAAGAAAAAGAAGCAAACTAAGCCTCCCTTTATCATAAACAACGAACGAATCATGAATCGTAGAGCCATAGCCAATGGATTCAACTCTTACTTTGTTTCTATTGCCCCTAAGCTCAATGAAACACTTAGTAGCAGTGAGGCCTCTGGTTTACCAATTCTCCCTATAAAAACATTCTATGATTTTCTTGGAAAGACTAATGAAAAATCGATAATGTTAGAAGACTGTACACCTTATGAGATAACGGAAATAATAAAAGGATTTGAAAATGGAAAAGCAAGTGATATTCCTGTTAGTGTAATCAAAAGATCATCTCACGTAATTACACCGATCCTTAGTCGATACATCAACATCTTAATGTCCAATGGCACGTTCCCCGACGTTCTAAAGACTGGTAGAATAACTCCTGTATTTAAGAAGGGAAACCCTGAAGAGATAGAAAACTACCGCCCAATCTCTACTCTCTCTATATTTGGTAAAATCTTTGAAAAGATCATTTACTCAAGAATATATTCGTTTGCTAGCTCACAGGGTATAATATCTAAAACACAATTTGGCTTCAGGCAGTCAC